ACACTTTATACACTTAAGTTATAGTTCAGGGGGCCCTGTTATATTTCAATGGGTCTCCTCTGAGTCCACAGATAGAAGATAAAATATTTAAATACATTAGTCTTAGTGAGGATGTTCTTCTTTTGTCATTTGTTCTTGCTTTATCTTAAGAATGATACATTGGAGGCGAGGGAAGCAGTCGAGGTCGTTTCTAAAACAAGCCCAGCACAAGGAAGTTTTCATTCCATTCTTTACCTAAGCTCTAAGCAAATCAAGTCAGGAAGAAGTTATGGATTTGGTCGCCCACGTTATCAGACAGACTGTTCTATTTTCTTATCGATCGATCACCTATGCCCTTACAATGACAGGTGAAACTGATGGTGAATTGATATTAGTTAGTAGAGCCGACCTTGAAAGGCATCTTTGCTAGTGTTAAGGCGTTAAGACTCACACTTGTAAGGAATGTGTTCAAATCCTAGCTCCGCAGGGTTGGATCTAGAAAGAACGGAACTTCAACTTAATTCTTACACAAAATAGTAAAGTTAACATTGGGAAGTTGGCTTTACAGCTAGAGTCACAATGGTATGAACCAGTTCATTTCTGTCTGTCTCGTCAAAGAAATAGGGCAATGCCACTTCCTGTGGAGCTAAAGAATACACTGTATAGGCCTTCGTTTTCGAATTTGTTGGTGCCCTAAAACAAACTTTTGTTAAGTTGTAGAGCAAGGGTTTCCAAACTTTCTTCAAAGTGGACAAGACAATTGAAAGAATCCTGAGCGCAGGCTGGATAACAATTTAACGTTCAATACAATACATTGAATACAGCAATTAAAAAAAATAAAGACCATCAACCTTTTGACATATTATCAATATACAAAGCACATTATACAAAATTCTCTTTACAATATTATTAATACAAAAACATACACACTGTTATAAAAAAGTCGTCAAATAACAAAAAAAATAATAAGATAGTTATACAACACATGTGTGCATGTGCTATTCTCACCAATCTTTGAGGAAAAAAATGAGATTTGTGAAAAGGACGTTTAGCTTCCAAGATATCAAAGTTATGCTATTATAACTTGCTTTGTGATTGTTGTATATAATTATGATAATTACTTTCAAGCAATAAATAGTGCATATGTGTGTGTTTGTGTGTATTTGTGTGAGTGTATGTGTGTTTGTGTGTGTGTGTGTGTGTGTGTGTGTGTGTGT